GTCATTTGTATTTATTGCAATATTATGTGTCAACAATGGACTATGGATACCGATGATCCGAGCGAAATTCATAAAACATTGAGTCCAAATTGTTTCTATGTAAAATTGATGTTAAGCAAGAATGCTTCTACCAACAATATTCACATTTTAAATGAGGTACGTCAGCAAACTTCACCACTTTCAACAACTGTTAACGGCATCCATGCTAATAACAGTAGCAAAATCTGTTCTCACGAAATTGTACTGACGGCTGCGTTCAATGTAACTTATGCAGAAATGCGAAAACGGTATGCTTCATTCACTTCATGGCCTCAAGAGCCGTTACCATCTGTAGATGATTTAGTTAAAGCTGGATTCTTTTATTCTGGAAAAAAAACGATCGTTACTTGTTTTTACTGTAACGGATCTCTTCAAAATTGGGGTCAAAAGGATAATCCCATGATTGAGCACGCTCGATGGTTTCCGCAATGCGCTTATGCTCGCCAATTGTGTGGCGATGAGTTATATAGAAGAATTCAAGAATCAAAACGAGTTGCTCGAGGTAAAAAATCGACTTGTTGCTCATCCCACTGCTTTACTGTGGTAAAAAGTATTGTTTGTAGAACGAACTGAAGCAAACCAGACAAATACATTTTTTCTATCAGATATTAGTGAAAATTCAAATAAAACCACTTCAGCAAACAGAGATACGCCAGACAGTCAACAACTATTGATCACAGATGAAGCTGCATTATCTCGTCTAGTTGCTGCACGATTAGATCTACCTATTTCACAAGATTTGTTGAGTAAGAATTTTAAATTATCAATTATTAAACGTTGTTACGAAGATCAGCTGCGTTTAAAAAGTAAGTTAAAAGTAAGATTGTCGTGTATATATACATCCAAGTATTTGCTTGTATTGTGTAGATAATGATTTTGTGAGCGATTATGATCTATTTTTGGCATGTACTATTCTTCAAAAACAGATTCAGTACATTGATGGCAAAAAAGAGAATATTATTATTCCCAGCGTTCACATGAAAAAAATGCGAGAACTTATTGAAAAAGAGGCAAAAGGTATGTCAAAAACAACATGCATTTACTGTGAGAGATTCATACGCTAGAGAACCGATATTATCTAAGAATGTTGCAAAATCCTTACCAGTTTTCTGGCAACTTTTAACGACTAGTTGGTGAGTTGTGATATTACGAGAAAGCAGCATGGACTCTCAGGATACTTCTTGTTGTAGTAGTCTGTTTTACGAGAGCGGCACACATCTGAAGTGTTAGTACAAAGACTACTAATTTTGTGTGCAGTAGTTTAGCAAATCTTGTTCAAATTATCACTATATTTCTATTAGGTAGTTTGTAGGAATTTTTGCAAAACTGCAATTTAATTTCATGGCAGATCTGATGAATATCTTATAGAGAAGTATAAGACATTTATCAGATTCTTACAAAATCTTACTGAATTTTTATCAATTACGGGAGAAATCCTATATAAAATTCTTGTAAGGATCCTGTAGGATTTCTCTAAGATCATATGTCTAGGATGGTCCTTGTTTTTTTTCTAGAACGAGAGCAGAAAAATAAGTCTTCTCTTACAGATCTACCAGTATCACTACCATCTCTAGTGAACACATCAACTTCTTCCATAGAAGGCTCAGAAATGGATTCATTAACCAATGAATTAGGAACCTTAAATTCACCAGCATCATCAATAAAAACAAATACTGTAAGAAATATTGAAAAAGAAATAAAAGACAAACAAAAACTTCAATCAAACATCGAAAATGTGTGTGTTTTGTGTTGCAAAAGTGAAAGAAGATTAGCATGCATACCATGTGGACATTTAGCAACATGCCTCACATGTGGCAATTCCCTTAAAACCTGTCCCATTTGTCGGCGGGAAATTGAAGCGTTCGTCAAAGTCTTCATTTAAATGAGACTGTTTCGAATGTATCTGATCTACACTATAAAAAATAAAGTGTGTAAATGACTCATATAAAGTGAGCGCCAAGTTGTAACACAGTGACTGTCTAAAATGCACTGCGTAGGTGTGTAAAATATACACCGAGACCAGTGATATAGTCTACTTGTCTAAACTATCTGTACTGGAAATGGTGATGTTTTTTTTCTTATCCGTTTTTGCTGAAAATGACAGTATATATACTTTCGAAGATGGTGATCATGATTCTGATATTATCTTTGGATTTGATGCAGTAGTTTGGGAGAGAAATGGAAAATAACAAATATTTTTATTTACATACCCAGTAACACATTTTATTTTTACAGTGTAGTTAGTAAGACATCTGGACACAAGGGCCAAACGGTCATTCATTGGTTGTCCAATGAAGCTGAATGTGATACAGTGCAGTGTATCGGAGAATAAGACACAAGAGGTGGAATATAGTCAAGTTAGTGCTAAGATTCATCATCATCTGAACAAACAGATTACAAGCTTCAAATATTAAACTTTTCTTACTCTTCTTTTTTTTCTCAGTTTTTCTGAATATCCCAGTTGAGTATTTAAACTTGTAGTCGAGGCAGGCTTTCTAATGAGAATTTTGAGGAGCGCGTACATAAGCATGGGAATTCGTGGATTTTATCGTTCTGTGTTTTCCTATTGGTTGATACAAAGCGTATTTTCGATTTAGTTCGCGTACCGTACACGTTGGAACAAAGGCGTACGCGTAATGTTAGAAACACTGAGTCGAGGATGTTGACCTGTCAATCCATGTTTTATCTGGCAGTTTTCAGATACCGCCCTCTATCAAATTTTCTACACATGTTTGCCCTGAGACGCTCTTTAATAGAATTTTATATCAGTTTCATGCTTCTAGTTAAAATAGTTTCCTCTGAAATGCAGTTAAATTTTATTATCTGTCGCCTAGGTTAAGAACTCTCCATGAGAGAGAAATATCGGCCTATAAAAAAATGACTGCTTGTCGTGACGCCATAGATATGTGCGTTTCTACTCAACCATCCGTCCGCTATCTTCGCTGAAACGTAAACTCAAGAAATGTCCGAAACGGGCGTTTGGTTTTGCTTTAAACTACTACACTACATTCCTCTTCTCACGAGTTGTTTATGATAAAAAGAGGAGCTTTTAAATATGCGTTAAATATTTTAAGGATCCAACTCTTCTTCAAGGAGAGCGTTTTTCGGCAATCTCACAGGTTAGTCTAGAAATAGACAGTAAATGAGAGAAGGAAGCGAGAAAAAAGGTCAACATTAGGGATTATTGTGCACGACTGATTACAACTATGTAATGGAGCAGATTTCTCTTTCTAAACGGCGTCTTATCCCTGAGTTTGCTGGTAAACATGGGATTTAAAGTAATATCATAGCGTCCATATTGAAGAACAGATATGTCTCTATTGTGCACAACAATTTATTTGTTTTATTCTTTTGAACTGCCCTAAAACTTGTATCAGATACTGGCGCCACCATATCTCGAAACGGACTTGCACCTTAACACCATTTCGTAGCTGCAAGGTTTCTCGGTAACGAAAAGTCGCAGAGAGCTCGGGAAGGTCTAAAACTGAAGCTGACATATGTGGCTAGAGACTAATGAACCTTGATTTAGGATATTCGCTCTAGATTTGTGGTTAGAAAAATATCTTCATGCAGACTTTTTCGAATTTCGGACTTTTGATGCTGACCATTAATTTGAAAAATAAAATATCAAAAATCCG